TTTTTAGAAGATCACAATATGCCAGAGAGGGGAATATAACTATCTTGATCAGTTCACAGCTAGACAGAATGAGTAATCATAATGTATCCCAATTATGTTGTCTAATATGAGGGCCCATTTGGCACTTCTTTTTTTCTTCATATGCAAGGATATTATCATATTAGATGAGACCATATAGCCAATGGGGTTACTATTCATAGATAACCTTGTGAGCTGCCAGTGTCACAACCAACAGCTCTGGAAAATGGAAAATCTGTGATCTTATAAAAGCAACAACAAGGTGCAAAGCAGTGTTTGCCTCCTGTACCTGAGTCAAAGTTAGTTCAGCTGGGTACTGTTCCTGAAATAATTAGAAATATGTGATATACATATATGCAGTAACTTGAATTACACAAGACAGGCCTATATGCTGTTATCCAGTTAGTCTTGTACTTCTGCTTGCCCGTGTCTCTCACAGGATATAAGTGCTGGCTGGATTCAGCCCTTTCCTCCTTTCCCGCTTTTCCTGTTTTGGTTTCTCCAAAGCATAGTAGCTACTTCATTTATTCTGACTTTTTGGTTATTGCTTCAGTCCTGGGGAACAGGATCCATGGAATAAGAGGAACAACATTGGAACTCTACCAAAATCTGTTTATTCTGTTAACCCTTTTGCTCTATTGCTTATATTTTAGTTGTTTCACTGAGCTGGTTAGTGTGAAATGTTGATGCTTAATGTAATGCATGTCTTTGAAACAATAATCAAATCAAGATTTTTAGTAGTCTGTGGATAAAGGGACTTCATAATGAAAAGTGTTTATCAGTGGAAGCAGGAACACTTCTGACAAATCACTGCTGAACTTCATCTGCATCCTTGTTTTTTTTTACTTGATAAAGCAGTGAAAGTATTGAAGACTGGCAATGATTAACAGAAAGCAGAGACTATTGTGATGAATAATGGGAGAAATAGCAACTCTGAAAATGAATCTGAAGTTTAACATCATCATTTTTAAATCATGAGTTTTAACTCTCTTAGTTCCATTTCAATTAAGCTTTTTCCCCCAAATAATCTTTCTTCAGGTTTCTTTGCTGCTGTAGGGCAGCTGTCTAAAACATCAGGCTTAAAGAAAAGCTTCACCTTCATTTTAGGGCTTTCTCATGCAATTCTCTCTCTGCAATGTATCTGTGAACAAATTAATATTTGAGAACAAAGAATACCGAGGATAAGATTCAAAAAGTTTTCAAAACTGTACACCTTGAGAAGACATTGCAGTTGTCATAGTTCAGAAGCTGTTGAATTGTATCACAACTGATGTAACTACATAATTCCACATCTTACAGAATTGCACAATTGTTTCCAGATTTTTGTTCCTGTAGAGAAGCGTGTGTTTAATTGGCTGTGGAAAGATGCAACCTTTACTGTGTATTTTCTTCAGTGTTAAAGAGTGAGATGAAGAAAAGAGTTTCTCAATTCTTTCTAACAAGTCTCTCATTCTTAGCTCCAATGAGGTAAGTGCATTTTCTGATACAAGTACGACAATGCAAAGTATTGATGACGTGTAGGATAAAACCTTGTTTCATGTAATTCTTCTGTCACTAAGTCACTTATGAGAAAGGTTCTCTGTGACGTTGTAAGCTGATTTCCCAGCACACTTCTCATCTGAAATTGTTTCAGTAGCAAAATACAAAGCTAACAGTGCTTGTAGAAGTTTCGAACCATGCAAAAGGTTTCTTTTAAGATTTCTTAGTTTTGGTGGCTGTTTTTACTAATTCTGATGTGCTTTACCTTACACCTGCAACCACAGTTAAAATGTTCATCTTCTACTGAAAACAACAAACCATAGACTTTCTCAATCCCTTTTGTCTTTCACAAATAATTTTCACTCCCACTTTTTCCTTTCTCATGTGGTGATTTGACATCATTAACTGCAATTGGGTGTATTGTCAGTATTTTATCAGCTGCACCTTTTTGGGAGTGGGTAAGTTCTTGACTACTACGATTACTAAAAGGTCTTCCTGATATCTTTGAGTGCTAGATGCCTTTGAGGCTTAAGTATTTTATTTAGAAATTTTATTTAGTATTTTATTTAGAAAAATGATATGCATGAAAATATACGTAGTTGTATATAATATACTTTTTGTTGCAGTTGGAGCTAAAAAGATTCGGGAGACATAATTGCTGCTCTGCAGACACCTGAAGCAACATGCTAATTCCATACCTGATTTCTTGTTTGTTCCTGGATATGGACGGGAGAAAGTTTACCTGTGTTTAGTCAGATTAATCACATATTCAATCCTGAAACAAATGTTTTTAGATAACTTGACAGTATTGTCTACGAACAATAGGAATGAATAATGCTTTTTTTTTTTTTTCTCTGATCACAGCTTCTTATTTACCCAATTGAAAAACAAAACAAAACAAAAAAATAATGAATACCATGACCTTTTGCAAGTATTCCCAATTCTTGGAAAGACAATTTTCATAAAAGAATATGTCATTTCAGGTTGATTTCAACAGTGTAAGGGTATATCAGTGAATTCTCTCTCTTCCTTCTCCTCCCCCAACCCCAGATGTCTTTTCCAAAAGAATGCCATTCTCCTGTGAGCCCAGTAACATCCATGTTCTTCTCATTTGTTGCCCCATATGGACTTTTCTGACTTTCTCAGTGCAGTCCAAGAAGACATGTGGGGATATTTGTATTTAAATAAATAGGATCAGATGGGCAAGGGGACTGCATTGTAGGGGGAAGGACGGAGAAGGTCATGGGCTTGGAGAGATCTGTGTGGCTGGAGTTACATGGGAGGTGGTGAGAATAACTTGGTGGGTTGTCATGCAGAACACCTGCTCTTAGCACTCAGAGTGCAGAAGGGTTCACCGGGGATCTTGTGTGAAGTCTGTTCTGGTGACTCTCCTCTGACAACTAAGGGAGTCTGTTGATTTATATATATGTGTGTGTGTGGGTTTTTTTTGTTTTTCCTATCAGTTTCATTTCCCTCTCCTCCTTCCCTTTCCCACCACCATAAACACCCACACCCCTCTTCGGGCCACCCCCCGCGAGACGAGCCTTCCTAGGAAAAGCAGAAAACGATCTCAACCTGGACACGGCAGGCAGACAAGCAGAGGGGGCAGCACAGTCGGATGAGGCAGACGTGAATCCCGTGAAAGCCCCCCGCCCCGCTGGGCGGCCCGCAGGCAGCTCTGCCCTCCCCAGGAGGGCTCTTTTGCCACGCCTCCTTTGGGGCAGCCCTTGGTAGAGCTCGAGGGCACTTGCACAGCTCCGGACGAGAAAGGGGCGTGCTGAAAAACATCAAATCCACACCTACAGGAGGAGGACGGCGTGGAAAGGGAGGGAAGGAAGACGTGGAGGACAACGTAACTTACATGCCAAGGCTTTTCCTTAGGAAGCAAACCTCCTGCGATCCCGGGGAGCTCAGCCCCACTTGGAGATAAGGATGAGGAGCCGCCTCGACCGCGCAGCGCTCAGCTCCCGCCCCGTCCGGCACGGCTGAGAGCCGCTTCAGCACCACGGACAGCGCCAGCAGCGCCGCCATGGGGGGCCGCGCCCGCGCAGCACCGCGCAGCGCCCCGCGCCTCTGAGTGGAGCCGAGCCGGGCCGACGCGCACATGTAAGCTGCTGCGGAGCGGCGAGCAGCGGGTTCTGCTTCTTCCGGAGCCGATTCTCTTTTAGTCTGGCTCCAATACCAGTCAGTAGTTGTGCTCTAGGAAGTTTTGTTGGGAATGGAGGTGTCTCGGTGTAGCACAGTCTTCCACGAACCTGGGTCTGGGCTGGCATTGAGATGGGTGGGTGGCTATGAGTGCAAGCGGTTTGGCTTTCTACCCTTGGAATTTGTGAAAACTGCTGGGTTTTAGTGTACCTGTAAGGGTTTGCTGTTTGTTGCTGGATATATGGTTTGGAGCTACGTTGTTGTCTTCTCTTACAGTTGGGTGAATTTTTTTTTTAAGGGTTTGCTTGTCTTGGAGACAATTTGACCAAAACAAAAAGAGGGAAAATGACAGGTCTTAAAATTCAACATGGTATCATGTCTGTTTCAGCTTGCTGGGTCTGAGTGTCAGGAGACTTTTCGTGTTTTTTCTTATCTTGTTACAAATACCGAGTGAGCAAGTGGAAAGGGTGCAGCAACTGGGAAAAACAAAATACACTCAGAACTGAGATTTTCAGTTCTTTTCAGATGTTTTTCTTTTTCTTTTTTTTTTTCTTTTCTTTTTTTTTTTTTTTTTAAATAAAACTGTTTGAACAAATACAACAATACACTGCCCCCTGCTTGCACAATTAGAAAAAAAAATTCATTATTGTCATCAGTAGTAAAAATTTATGAATGAGAAGGTATTCCTCTGTTGTGTTCTGGGTGTGATCTCAGCTTCACTTTTGAAGTGCTTCAACAGAGAGAATGAATTAGTCCTAATTCAACAAGCTAGGTGTATTTCTTTATTTACAATAACAGATTCCTTTCATGGCAGTTCATCTGGTGGCCAAACGTGTTAATGAATGAACAGTTGGAGACGACGTCAGAGTAGAGCTGATTTTGAAATATCTCACAAGCATTCTGTAACAGCTTTGCAATAATCAGATGTTTTCAATACTATCTATGAAGGAGAAATAAGGAATGGGGAAAATAACCCTGAAAATATGTTATAAAGCAAGAGTAAATTGAATATAAGAACAAGATGATTATTTCACAGCCTCTTCTAGCATTAAAGACTCGTGTTGATGAGTTTTCTATGGAATGGGAAAGAACATGCTCATTCTTAAATTATGGGAAGGGGAAACAGCTAAGAAGCAGTGAATTTTTATCTATTTATTTTCTTTGTGTGTGTGTGGGGGGGGGGGGGAGGGGGAGGGAAGATATCTGGTAAAAGTCATATTCCATTTCCTTTTTCTCAAACCCCAGGGCAGAGCTACCTGCCTTAAACCAGGGAGGAGTTCAGGGAGGATATCAGAGTTTAGGTGCCAATAAAGATTCAGTGCTCTCTCAGTGTTTTTGGGATACTGGCCTGAGACCTTATGCTTTATGATAACAAGATTATGGAAGTTGGTGTGTATAATTCATCAACATCCTTTAATGACATGTATGACATGTAAGACCTGGTTTGTATGACTGAATGTATCTTACCATGCCATTTCTTACAGAGATTTCAGAAAGTGTGGATTTGCTATTTGCACCTGTATTTCCTCAAGGCCTCTTTTCAGAGATTGACCTTGAAATATCATTTTCCTTTATCTACGAGCAGTGGGAATGGTGGAGGAGGGGACATTTACTTCTGCAACTGCTTCGAAGGACTATTCTGCAAATGAATGAATTGCTCCAATATTTATTGGGCATGTACCACCTTCCTCCCCCACCACCACTGCATGAATAGAGTTGAAATATTCCATTAATTACTCCTGGATATTTCATATAGGACAGGAACCACATTGCTAACAGTGCTGTCATAGTCTAGCTATCTCAAGACTAAATTAAAAAAAAGGGCTTTTTTTGCATTTCGAAGGGTAGAAAGCTTAAGCATTATCTGCTGTTAATCAAAACCAGCCATACCAAATGATATTCAATATGCACAGTAAATCAGCAGTATATGAAAAATGGCATCTAAAACTTTTGATCTAAAGGATAATGTTCCAATTTAAGGTTAGATTTAGAGATTTATTTAAGATATTGGGAAAAAAAAGAGGATCTGAGAGAGATCTGGTAATAAACACCTATGCAGCATTTGAAACTCCAATGTAGCCTGTTGCATATATTAGAATATTTGAAGTTTGAGTTCAGTCTGTGGTTGTCCCCTGAAGTTGGAGTCCGCTTCAAAACATGCTATCATTTTTTACCATGAAGGTATAACACTTATTTTTGCTCAGAGCAATTTAATATACTCTTTAAAATTGATTAATTTCTTTATATCTATTTGTTTCTTGTCATAATCCTTAATAACCTTAATTTTTGTTCATGTTCCTAGCACGTCTCTAAACAATTTGGTTTTGTATGTGTGTGTGGAAGGAGTGTTCAGTACACAAAAATGGTCCATTTGATGCCTAAAATCCATGACCATTTTAAAGAGGCCTCAGGGATTCTGCAGCCTTTTTGTGCCCTGATTATTTTTTAAAAACATTGGTGTAAGTAGAAACTAAAATAAGAAGTAAATAAGAAACAAGAAGTAAACTGGCAGTTTCTGAGTCTCCTCAGGAACTAAAAAATTATGTTTTTAAAATGGTTTTCAGAAACTTAAAGTTCCTTTTCACCCTGGTGACGTCAATGTCTTATCAATGCCTACCCTCATGGTTGTTTTACTCAGTGTGATTCATAGTAATGGTTACTTATCCTAGATTTCTGTTGAAGTTTCAGGACAAAGAGAGCAGCTGAAAGAGTACAAGGGAGACTCCTGCAGCTTCTCTCCACCAAAAGGAAATCCAAAGAATAGCCAGTCATTAAGTTCCTAAAGCTGCTTTTCTAAATGCCCTGCTCAACATTTAGGGTTTTAGTCAGGTAAAAGCTGACATCACCTGAGATTTCCAGACTTACCTCAAACACAAATACGCATTGATTTCAACACCTATTCAAGATTCAAGTGTATCTACTCAAGTCGATACCATTCAACCTGTCCCATGTGCTTTCAAAGTTCTCTTTCAAAGTACCTTTGAAAATTTTCTCCAACCCTGAGCTCTAGGTGGTAGTCTGGCTGTTTCACAGTTGCTTTCACTATACAGGAACTTGCTGTATGGGACCAAAGGGTTGGCAGAAGACCCTGCATGGTGTAAATGGGAGCATTGTGAAAGGGAGGGTCAAGGAGACAACCCCTTTGCTAGGATATGCTCAAAATGAAGCAGCCCAGTTTCTTCTCTCTTTCCTCTGTCCCACACATCTGGCACTTAACCAGGTACGGAAATTTGGTTGTGAAAGAAAGATCTTCATCTTCAACAGTGTTTTCACTGACACCTCACTAAGAACAAGCCATGTTATGCCATGTTCCCATGTGAGGCACTGAGTGTCTCAGCTCCTAGTAACTTCACTGCAAGCTGCAAGGACCTACACTAAGCCACTTCAATTAGGAGCTGGGATATTCCCAGAAGATGATTTGTTAAAAGCTACATCACTACAGAAATGTTTTTTCTTCTGCTCTCACCACAGGAGTCCAGACATCTTATGGCTCCCTCAGCTGTATAAAGCTGGATGTACATTGCTGCAAGCAGTACATGGGCCCATTTCTTTTTCCCAGAACACTTTATCTCCAAAACACTGCATACACTGGCATTCTTTCCTAGAAAAATACAATATTTAATTGCAGTGCTTGATGAGCTTGATCACTAACTCTCTCAGTAAAATTGACATACAGAGACATTTCAGTACGAACCCCCTTTATACAGAAATGGAAAGATAAATGCAATCAATTTACAATTGCTTTTTAGTTTTTTTTTTTTTTTTTTTATTAGGAAGACATTACACACACAGTAAATATGATTACCCCTGAAACTGCCTGCATATGACTGAAAAGCAGAACAGAAAAATGTGCTGAGTACAGTCATGAGTTTATAGAAGGGTTGGGTTTTCAAGATTCTTTGATGATGCATAAATTACTCTTCACACTGCCACTTCTCTATCACGATTCAGTGATCGTGTCAAACATAATTACAACTTTCTTTTCAGAACAGGAGTTGATAGCTGAGCGTTCCTCATGAAATCGTTCAAAGTTAAAAGTATAATTTTTTATTCATCTCCTGCTCTCTATAAAGTGCAGTGGCAGAGATATTGATCTTCCGTGCTCATGCCCTATGACTAGAGGTCATAATTCATCTGAGGTGAAGCCCTCTGAATTATGGTGCCTTTTCCCCTTCCTCTAGGCAGTGCAGATTAACTCTGTGCTGCAGGGACAACCCTGTTGAACATGTATTATAAGCACAAGGTTGTATATTATTATTATTATTATTATTATTATTATTGAGCTTGTATTCTTTTCTGTTTCCTCTTTTTCTATATAATTTCTGTTGCTAGACACTGTATGAAACCAGTATAGTCTCTGAATTGAAGGAAATGAAATGAAGGTCCTTTTTTTGGCATCTTATTACGTATACAACAGACTGGTGTGAATTAGCTCTAGGCTAAACTCTAACCTCCTTTTTCAGGCCAAACTTCCAGTTGTCCAGTGATAGTATTATTGTAGTTTTGTGGGTTTTTTTCTGCCTCACCTGTCAGGAGAAAAAAAGCTGTATAAACATTTATATGTGTGTGTAGGTATATGTATATATCAAGAACGTAGTTGGACACTGAGCAGAATATCTAATACATTCCTCACTGCTAGAATTACTCCAAATTTCTGGGATGCTTCCAGTACTAACCATTAAAAATAACAACAAATGTATGTTTGCCAGTAATTTATTTGCCATACAACATTTTTAGAACATAAAAATAAATGCTTTTTGATGATCAGAAGAAGCCAGTGGAATTCCTCTTGCATGAAGCAGCTATTACAATTTTATTCTCCACTGTTCTATTTTTTGTCTTACTTCCTTTATTCTTTTCTCCTCCTGAAGAACATAATACTGAAGGCAACGTGTCTCCTGGCTCCTTTCCCTTTTGTCACTCATGACAGTACTTTCAAACTCCATTAGTAATTTTTCAGAGCAACACATGAACTTTTCATTGAGTGAAGGTCAAAACTGACTTGGAGAACAGATGGGGTGTGGAAAGATGAACCTTTGCCACCCACTGAGCGTTAACACCTGCTTATTTCTTACATCTGCCTGCTGCAGCTTACATGCTCCTGAAAATTTTACCCAAGTGAATTAGGACTTGCAATTGGATTGAGTGCAAATGGCATTTGTGAAAGTGGTTTTGTTTTTACCTTCTTAGTCATGCTTTGCATTCTTTGAAGGTGGAAATTAACTTCACGTGCTTGGAACCTAACAGAGGGACCGTGATTTTGTTGAAATGCTATTGCAGCAAAATGTAAAAAGGGCTACAGTAAGATGGTACTGAATGCTTCAAAAGCACGGGGAGATTTAGGATTTCTGCTGGTTTTATACAAGGGGGTGCTACTTCCTCTCTGAGCCCAGTTATACACAGCATAATTTTCTTTGGAGGTTCCAGAGAAGATGGCATAGAATAGTTTGGCTTCATCCAACCATCTCCAAGCGAAGGCATTTCAGCCACGTAATCAGTGGGGAAACTAATGACCCCTTCTCATCTGTTCCTTCCTTTGTCTTCTGTTGGTGGTCAAATATCTGCATCGTTGTTTTTCAACAGCAGCTCTCAGTAAGCTTCTTTCTCAGGGGTGATCCTGAAATGAGGGATTATACCTGTGTTTTACAAAACTGGTCTCTGGATTTGAGTACTTGTATTTAGAGTAGCTGCCAACTGTATTTCAACATGAAAATTAGACGGTCATTCATTAAACTACTCTAGATGAGGAAAGAGAAAAATGGTATTATGTAGCATGGAAACAAGCAGTGAATGAAAAGGTGGTTTTTTGTGCCAGCTGAAACTTAGCAGAATGCAATATATTTATTCCTGTTATTATATGTTATGATGTGTTCAAAACTAGATGCATATTTTTAAAGTTAATAGAATACAGTTTATTGGTCTGGTACAAGAGCTACTGATGTGCTGATCTTCTTTAGTTTACCTCAGTAAGAGTAATTAAGAGAAATACTTTGTTATGGGTACAGTTCCTAAACAAACAAGAAAAAATAATGTATTTGCACTGTTTTTTAAATGAACTTCTCAAACTAAGAATGTTCTTGGCATTATTGTTGAAATCCAGTGTGTTGTAGATCAGGAAAAAACTTGCCTGTTATCCAGAAGAAAATATTCTTTATTCCATAGGTATCCTAAATTATTTTAAATGCCTGGCTCAGAGCATACAGAGCCATCAAGATCAGATCATAACAATGCATTTCCAACTTTACTTCAAGTTACGTGGAGTTATGAATCTTCAAAAGCATGACTTATGTTCCTTTGCGCTGTTTTGTTTTTCTTTTTTTTTCCCCCAGGTTGAGAAACAGCAATTATAAAAACATGCATCGAAGGCACACAACCCTTCGGGAGAAGGGCCGCAGGCAGGCCATCCGGGGCCCAGCCTACATGTTCAATGAGAAGGGCACCAGTCTGACTGCAGAGGAGGAACGCTTTCTTGATTCTGCAGAATATGGCAACATTCCAGTCGTGCGAAAAATGCTGGAGGAGTCCAAAACCTTGAACTTTAATTGCGTTGATTACATGGGACAGAATGCCCTACAGTTAGCTGTAGGGAATGAGCATTTGGAAGTGACGGAGCTCCTCCTCAAAAAGGAGAATCTAGCTCGAGTTGGGGATGCGCTGTTGTTAGCCATCAGCAAAGGATACGTGCGCATAGTGGAAGCAATATTGAACCATCCCGCCTTTGCACAAGGGCAGCGTCTCACACTCAGTCCCCTTGAGCAGGAACTGAGAGATGACGATTTTTACGCCTACGATGAAGATGGAACTAGGTTTTCCCATGACATTACCCCTATCATACTTGCAGCCCACTGCCAGGAGTACGAAATTGTTCACATCTTACTTCTAAAAGGTGCACGGATTGAAAGGCCACATGACTATTTTTGCAAGTGCAATGAATGTATTGAGAAGCAGAGGAAAGACTCCTTTAGTCACTCTCGATCGAGAATGAATGCCTACAAAGGATTAGCCAGTGCTGCTTACTTGTCTCTTTCCAGCGAAGACCCCGTCCTTACTGCTTTAGAATTAAGCAATGAATTGGCCAGACTAGCCAACATTGAAACTGAATTTAAGGTAATTTACTTCCATGGCATTTTTCGTGGGTCAGATATGTTCAGTGTTCTTTCAGTGTGTATTTCACACATTTGATCAAGTAGTGGCTTTCACTCTTGGGGGGAGGAAACAGAAAGTGTAGAATCTGTCTATATGTGTTCACAACACACAGATCCAGATCAGTACACATTCTGCAGCTAATAAGTTTTTGGAACTGAATACTGCATATTGCATCAGTGCTGTCCTTACTGGGAATTTTTATATTGTACTCTATGATTGCTTAGAATCTTTAGTTTGAAGCAGGAATAAAGCTTAAATTATTTTATTCCAAAAATGAAGACTCAGCTCCTGTAAGAAAGGTAAGTCTTTTTAACTGCTCAGTGTATTTTTAGAAGCAGAGTTCTAGAATCTGGTGTAATTGATTGAGAATCCAGAACATCTAGTTCTGTTCCAGTGATAAAAGGTATAAATTAAGCACTTTTGGTTTTCTGCAAAGTAATTAAAATCGCATTTCAACTTAATGGTTGAGTACTCCATCTCTGTATGATGAATTTCATTAAAAAAGAGGGGAGAAATAATAAAGAAATTGTTATGAAGTCAATTACCATGCCAAACAACGGTGGAACTTGCAGAACTCTCTGACAAGTTATTCAACATTTGCATTATCATAATGAGTTTGTAAGTGTCCAATGTCATTTGCATTATTTCTCTAAGTCATTTACATCTCATAAATAGCATTGTCTCCCTTTATAAAATAAATTAGTCATGAGAAAACTCATTTTCAGTGGTTCAGTCATCAACTTTAAGCTGTTTTCTGACTTACAACTATTGTGCAGCTACAATCACGATCAATGACACTGGGGTAATAAAGCATACATTGTGAGTAAACTGGGATAGAATGCCAGCCAGAAATCCATTATTTTTAATTTAGAAAACTATTCAAGTGTTAAAGCATCCATTTCATGACTTAAAGCTACATGATTGCTAATCTAAATCTGACAAGAAGCATGATCTCAAGCTGTTACCTTTGAAACAGTGTAGTAAGTATAACAAGTGGAAAAATACCCAAACCATGGACCTTTGAGGCAATAAAATTAGGGCAAAATCTTACACTGTCCTTTTTTTTCCCCTTATGAATCAGAATTGGAAGAACACAACAGTTTTAAAGAGAGTTGTTTTTATTTTCTCTCTGTCCTAGAAGAAGTCTCACTGAGTTTTCTGAGACAGCTGAGGGTTACTTTGGTGTGAAACCATGTGGGTTCACCCAAATTGTTAACATTAATATCTCATTAACGTTCCTTCTTCTTCTCAGTAGAGGACTGTCTCCTTGTGCAGAGCATGAGCAGTCTCAGTATATTGCATGCCTGTCAGCTCTGATAAGAGTCTTGCTGAAGGAATGCAAATCTACCAGAATCCCTCCTTTTGTTCATAGAGCTGCCAGCGTAGTCTAGACTGGCACTGGCAGGTACATGAATCCTCCAGGAGCAAACGAGATGGAATGCTGAATAGTCTCGTGATGGTTGGCCTCCATCTCCCCAGGCTGACAAACGGATGTGAATAAATCAAGAAAGGAAAATCACTAGAAAACATTTGCCAGTTTATAGTATTTTCAGGAATGTTTTCCAATTTTGCTGCCCAGTGAGAAGCTTCTGTGCAAAACACAAGTATGTATATTAATCAGGTACCTCTGAAGATAAGCTGACCCAGTAGTTTACTTTCACATTCTTTTAACATATTGCCATTTCTAGAAATAACAAATATCTCAAGATTATGATGTGCTTTGCTGTAGATGAAAATCAAATGTATGTATGTATTCAAAAATATTTATTCTTATTAACATAATCAATGTGGCACAGAATACAGCAGAAGCTTTTTTTTTCACAGATCATGACATTTTGAGAATTTATTTCTAGAAAAGAATGCATTCACTGGAGATGTGTTTAAGAAGTCCATAAAGTAGGAAAAATGTATGAAATCAAACAAGCTCCAGAGGTCTTTTGTGTGCATCTTAAAATAATATTTTCCACAACTTCATAGTTTGTATTGCTGAGGTTCTGTAGTTACCATCAGTGCTCCACAACTACATAGAATTATCCCTTGGAACTATTTTGAATCAGGTAATTATGCACAGTCTTAACAATGCAGTTTTTAAGAGGAACAAAAAGTCCTTGAAACTGAAGGGCACAAGTAAGATTTTAATAATGTAGGTGAAGAAATAGTAATTAAGGGCTAGATCACCTACCTCTGAAGAAACTCTTAGCATGAGATAATTAAAATATAAATGCAGAGCCTCTCACCTGCTGCTTGCTGCCCACAATCACTAATGCACCATTCATAGCAGTATTATTGAGGTTAAAATGGAAGCCTAGACGTGTGATAGAATCTCACTGCTGACCTTTGGCAGCACTTCTGCTGACTGATCAATAGGTCTTTAATACTGGGAGATGTTCTGGGTTACCAATCTGGGTGGATATGCTGCTCTATTGAACTCCTTTCTTGATGTGTTGATTTAGGCTCTGAAGGAAGATCAAGGCAGTCAATTACAATGTAAATTCCCCCATGTAGAAAGGAGCAGTGGAGACTCAGAACTGGAAGAAAGGTGGAAACTGACAGAGCCGATGGATGCCAGTGGTTTTATTGGAGCAGATTGACTATTGGGTTAAATCAGTGCTTTTTCAGTCAAGCTGAGATGAAACTGCAGAAGATGAGGATCAGTCCAGATACCTACAATAAATGCATAGTCTCGAATAAGCCATTATTTCCAGCAAATCTGATTTTTGCAAGGCTTGTTTATAAGGAAAAAAAAAAGAAAAATGTGAAATATTGTTACATTTATACAGAAATTATTTAATTTTTTAACTTTCAATTCTCTAATGTCAAAGTCCTCCCAAAAAGAATCAAACGAAAAAACTAAAAAGCTTTTTTATAAGCACTAGAAAACGAACTGCTTTCAGAGACGTATTCTGTGAGTCTAAAAATATGTAATTCAATCAGAATATCGTCCTCTCCCAAAAATTATTGTACTGGTTGTTTCTGCTGAGAATTGTCGCAATTTGAGTGCATTAAATGACCTGGCAGTTAGCCTAAAAATGAAGCAGGCAGGAAAGTCATCCAATGTGTATTCTTGAAATTTCGGAATACCTCCCAGTATTTGTACATGTTGCATGCATCTCATATTGTGCTTCTAAGTAGAGCTGAGTGTTAAGCACAGCTGGCTATAAAAGGAGGTGTTAAGTATCTGAAGCTCCAGGGGGAGGCTGTGCTTTTACTCAAACTGAAAGATCTATATACACTCCTATTTCTTTCAAAGTTGGCAGACCTTGAGCATGAGTCATAAAGCAAATAATCCTTCTGTCTTCGATCAGTGAATCCTGTTTGTTTTGCTCGTGCAAGTAAGCTTCCAGTGTGAATAACATAGGCAGGATTTGTCCACACAAATAAGACATTGCCTGTGAACCCAACTGGTAAAGGCTGCTCTTCTCTCCAGTCCAGGGAGATCAATCTTCCTCATGTCACCTTGGCATGAAGCTGGATGCAGATTTCTTCACAGATATTGGCTCTTCACAGCCAGGTGACTCTTCTAGGACGGAGATATTAATAGCAGAGTCAATAGAATCATTTCTGTGTGTCCACTGATCTCCTCTTGGAGATAATCTTTCTAGCAAACAGTCTGCAGAAATGTTTGCACCTTGCAACTTAAAGGCAGCATCAGGCCTTATTACAACACTTCACATCCTGCAAACGGAGAGAAAGAGCAGTAGCTCTGTTTGCTCTTTTTTTTAAGCTGTGATGGAGCACTCCTTCTTCTGGTGGGATCCCAACCCACACCCAGGTTTGTTTTGCAGCCTGGCATGCTCCAAAATACACGACATGCTTTGAGTGGTGAAGACAATCAGCCAATTCATTCTATTTAGCAATCCAGACAAATTCAATTACAGAATCACAAAGGAAGCTGTGAAAAATCTCATGAATTGTATGTGGTAAATAAGTTCTCAGCTCCTGTTGACTAAAATATTACTGAAGGTGTGATCAAAACCACCACCTGGAAAACATATGGTGTGTGCTCTTTGTTTATCAATCCTACCAACACTTTCTGTTCATTTACTATAGCACACGTTTTGTTTCTAACTGCTATATCTCTTGCTGATGCTCTCTGATTGACTGTAGTGCTTTCTCTAAACGATTTCAAGATCCAAAAGTGACCTTATCCTGTCTGTGTGTGTATGTGGCACATCCGGGCTCAGCTGGTTGATGGGCTGTGCCTGGCTGCTGCCCTATTTATGGGGAGCATTGGCTTGTGTGGCAGCAAGTCAAGTGTGTAGCTGCCTACAGAGATATGCCTGCTAGGAACTGCTTGTCATTTCAGTGGGGCTGCAGTAATGTGAGACAGCTGAGACTCAAAGCCATGAACCCTCAGGGAATCAAAAAGAATGGCAAAACATCCCAGGAGACTTAATGGCATGTATCAGTTAGGGATGATCTGGCATTCCTGCAATGAAACTTTTGCTCCTGTAACTCAGTACTACTTTTTTCTTCCTAGGTCGTTAATAGAATGTGCTTGACCAAAATACTGTAAGAAAAATAACCTTGTAAAATTCCTATGCATTTCTTGCTTTATCTCTGCAAACGTGGAATTTGCACCAGTCTGACCATACACTGAGTGATACTAGTGACACTGATACATAGTACTGCTGCTGCAAGACAATATGCACTGCTGTATCTGATTATATCTTGCTGAAAAGCTGCAGTTCTGTCCAAACAGAAGAATCTCTTTGGCATTTTTGCTCTCAGGACTGCCTGGAGGCATTCCCTAGGTTTATTTTCATTCCCATGAAAATAAAGACACTGCTGTGGGAATCTTCCTAATTAACTTCATGAACACTCTTGTAAATCAATAACTTTTTTTCTACTCTGACCAATTCTTCCACAAGTGATCCTTTTATCCCTCCATAATCCCTTGCTTCAATATTCTTTCTGGCATGCATCTTCCCTCTGACACCTTTTATTAGTGATATGTATTA